CTATCCCATGCCTAACTTAAAGGGAATGACTTTTTCCTCATCTCTTCTTGGTGGCAGCTGGGATTTCCCCTACCCTGTACTGTATTTTTCTCTTAAATTTTAATTAAAAACTATCTTCTAGCTTCCTTCTGAGTCAGTTTCTCAATCCTTTATTTAATGAGACTAAGAAACCCCCAAAGTAATCTCAATTTCCCTTATAACATTTACATGTTTATCTTTAGGTTTTCCTGAATCTCACACATTGGTCCAAAAGAGCAGTGGAAACTATATATATTTGGTTGTTGATGTCTTACTTATTTTCTGTAGAACAAGCTCTTCCTTCTTTCTTGTAGCTAAACAAAGAGCCAGGTTATGCCTGTCCCTTACTGCTAATAGAGCAAATCACCACAATTGAAACAGTGCAGATTTATGTTTTTATCACTTGGGGAATCAAAAGTCTGGGCTGGGTCTTCACTGGCTAAAACCACTTGTCACTAAGCCTGTACCTTTCTGTCCTTGAGATTCCAGAGAGACAGATCCACCCTATACACCCTTGAGCTATTTGGCCCCCAGTTCCTCCCGCCATCTTTATGGCCACCATGACTGGCTTTCTCACAATGTGTGCTTCTGGCTCACCCTCTTTTCTGTCCCTCTACTACATTTAAGCAGGTTTGTGGTGACTTAGGGCTTATCTGGGTCATCATTGAGGACAGCTGACACAACGATAGATCTTAGTATAATCACAACTAGAGATGAGGTCTAGGGGATAGGAAATGGGTGTGCTGTAAGTCACTTCCTGCCTGCTTTACTGAGTGTACAGACAGCTGAGAGTCCAGCCTAGCTGGGGATGCCCTGAAGTGTTAGTTAGATAGAGTCACTTTGTTTCCATGTTAATCCACAGCCTCTCCCTTGGTGTCTGTCTTGCTGTCAGCTTTTGGGTCATCCCAATGCTAGTAGGGGATGACTGCCGTCCTTATAGTCTCATTTCTCTATGGATTGTGGTGGGCAGGTTCAGAACTCTAGTCAGGTCAACAGTTCTTGAGAGGTGGTACAAGGATGGCTGTCCCCCACTGGCAGGTTCTCGTGTCAGGAGATCTTAGGACTCTTCCCAGGAGACAATATCCAGTCCCAAGTGTTCTGAGTCACTGTCTAGGCGTCCAAGACCTGATGAAGTAGTGGTCTAGTACACTCGTGATTCACACATGTTATGGCACAACTATCTGATGGGGCTATTTACTGATCTACCTAAAGCTTTGAAGAGCAGTGGGCAACTGTCTTCTATGTATCCCTCCACAAAACTGGCTGCATTGGTGGCTGTTCTAACATTGAACACACAGAAGCCTGGGCACAGGACTGCTGGGGCTGGACAGTGTTTTGAGTTTTAGTTGTTCCCCAGGCCCAGAGCTGGTTCCCAGGGGGAGCTGGTCCCCAACCATGAGCAGAAGAAGAGCCATCTGGGCAGGTGGGAATTTCCTGTAGGTCCCCAGTTACATAGACCGGGAACTAACTTGTGACAATGGGTTAGGATCTTCCAGTAATGTAACATGGAGTTCTGTGGCTTGGTGTGCATTTTATTCTGCAACAACTTCACCAAGACATTGATGTCCCAAGGTTGTGGGTCATACACCAGTAAAAGAAGAAGAGCCCATTTAACTGTGTCCACTGTAGCCCTGTGGTTCACAAAACCCCATGCATTCATTGCCCACCACCCCCAGGCACTATTCCTAGGTCAAGTTCCACAAAGGCCTTGTTGATGAATCCAGTGAATGGTGGCTGACATGCTGGCTTTGCTGCTGGGCCATAAATATTCATGTGGAGAGGATAGACAAAGAAACTGAGGTTCAAATACAGGGCATGCTAATACACAGCCCCAAATACCCAGGAATCCTCAGAAATGTGCTACTGGCTTCCATGGGTACCAACTAGCCTCACTCATAGGCACACTCCACATGTAGAGCAGAGTTGTTTGGCATATTGGAGTCTTGTTGGAAGGGGTGCAGCTTCCAGAGTTTCAGGAGAGAAGACTCTGGGCTGATGCAGCCCTCTCAGAGCTGTTAAGAAGGCTATTCTATAACTTCTGTAGGGTGCCGAAGTGTGGGTAGCCCTCCATGTTTGAAGTACCTCAGGAGAGCCAGAATGAGCCTACATTCTGCTCTCCCTCCTCACAGGTAGACAGGACTTAAAGCTGATGCCACCTAGGAGGTCTTTTAGTTTTAGTTCCACCAAATAAACACCTCAGAAACCATCACATAGATCACAGAGTCAGGTGGAACTGAGGCTTATGGTCAATATGACTCTGGAATCTACAGAGACTAATGTAGAGAACCTCAGTAGACACTGAAAGACTGAAGTCACTAGAGTGTATGCTCTGGCCATTCTGGAATGGTCGTGTGGACCAGGTAGTGGGGGTGGAATGTGATTAGTCTGAAATCCAGGTCACAGTCTCAGGTTACTGCTTGTTATTGGGGGAAGTCAAGGAAGGAATTTTTATCAGCTAGTCAGATCACATGCACAGATAAGAGCAGAGAGAATGAATGCATGTGTGGTCACTTGTGCTTAGTTTCCTCTACATTTACGCAGTCCAGAATCCCCTGTCTAGGGAATGGTGTTGCTCACAGTGGACTGAGTTTTCCCCTTTAATTACTGTGATAGTTTGAATGAGAATGACTCCATAGGCTCATATCTTTGGATATTTAGTCCTTAGTTAGTGGAACTATTTGAGAAGAATTAGGAGGCACAACCGTGTTGGAGGAAGTGAGTCACGAAGGGTAGGCTTCGAGTTTTCAAAAGCCTGTGCCAGGCCCACTGTCTCTTTCTGCATGCTGCCTATAGTTCAGGATGTTAAGCTCCTCCACCACCATTCCTGCCTGCCTGCCTGCCTGCCTGCCACCACACTCACAGCCAGGTTGATAATGGAATAACCCTCCAGAGTTATAAGCAAGCCCTTGATGAAATGTTTCCTTCTATAAGTTGCCTTGGTGTCTCTTCCCAGGAACTTAACAGTAGCTAAGACAGTGACCATTATGGAGACAATAGTTCACAGACATGCCCAAACTGATCTACATAATTCCCCGCTGAGATTCTCTTCCCAAGTGATTAAAGAGAGTGTCAAGTTGACAGTTTAAGGTATCATGGTGGGTCTTATGACCAGGAGTTTCTAGAAAAGTTCTGCTGAGACTTTAGAAAAGCAAAAAGACAAGTAACCATTTTAGAGTTTCCCAGAATTGTTCACAGCAAAGACCTGGGCAAACTCAGGAACCAAACTTAGGCAACAAGTGTGCTTAACTGCTAAACTATCTTTCTAGACCCTCCCCTTTTTAACTATTTTATTTTTAGCTTTACTTGTCTTTTCTTTTGTCCAAAACCTTAGAAGGACTCTGGTAATTGTCTCAGATCCAGGAAGCCACGGGAAGGTGGATTTCCCAGGACTCAGTGGTCAGATAACCTAGTTTATTTAATGAAAAATGGGTAATCTGGTTGATTGTGCAGAATCATTACCCTATATCCTCAAGACTTGCTCTCATGTCCACCTTAGAGCCAGGAATGTGTGCTGTTTGCAGATGGTCACTTTCTTAGGCAGATCCAGTACCAATGACTCTCACCTGTCCTTGCCATGGAAAGAACCCACACACACACACTTCATTGGCCTAGACACCAATGTGGACACTCTGCCATAGTATTCAGTGTCTCTCATCCAGTGTCCTGTGTCAGAATTGGGGAAATAACTATGAATGGGTTAAGACACCCCCTACACATGCTGTGGGATAAACCTGAGACAAATCTCAGTTGGTTGGCTGACTCCCTCAAGCCTTGCTGTGGCCAGAAGCCTCAGTGACAGTTACAGATCTATAATCTGTGAGTTCATATGCAGGAGCTAGCCGTTCCCCAACCCACAGTGACTTTGCAGGAAGTCCATCGACCTTTCAGGGTGAGGCCAGGAGAAGTAGCAACTAAACATTGGTAATGTCACTGGTCCCTCCTTCCTCAAGGGAATACAGCCATCTCTTCACTCAAGGGATTCTGTGACTATTAATTGGCTTAGTTCTGGAAACTGATTGGAGACCTGGCACTCTCTGACCTGCTGCTAAAACTTGGGCTCATCCTCAATTGACCTTGAGAGGTTTTGATTATGTAGATAAAAGAGGATTTAATGGGTTTCTTACCAACTGTGGTTCTACACACACCACAATGAACTCCCAATGCCCCAGGCTGGTGTGCGTCAGTGAGACTGTTCGGCTTGCTGATTCAAGAGCCACACATTCTCTGTCTTAATCGTTACAAGAAAGGTAATGTGCTATATTATGATTCTGAGATTTACTTTTCCCCTCAACATCCCATCGTGAGACCTATTCTTGCTGAGGCGCACACTTGCGGCTGAGTCATTTAAACGACTGTAAGCTTTTCCATTGCGTTATTATGTCCCAGTTCATTTGTTGCTTCCCCCACTGGTAGGCACATTGCTTTCCCCATAGGTTTGCTGCAGTCATCAGAGCTGTGTGAATGTTCTCTTGGCTCCACAGGCATGAGTAGCATCCCCAGCAGGGTCGGTGTGGAAAAGGAAGGAGCCAGGTCTCTCTCCTTCTCTCTGCCTCTGTCTCTGTCTCTGTGTCTCTGTGTCTGTCTCTGTGTGTGTGTCTCTCTCTCTGTGTCTCTGTCTCTGTCTCTGTCTCTCTCTCTCTCTCACACACACACACACACACACACACACACACACACACACACACCCTCAACTCTGCTACATACTATCCAATCACAAAAACAAAGGCAAGACTGTACCAAACCACCCTCCTCCCACTGGCAGCCACTCCCCATACCCTCTTGGCATTTGCTGTGGCTTATTTACTTTTTATGAGTTTGGCTGATGTGTGTAAATTCCTCTCATTATCTTAAGAATGGGGAAAATTGAATTCTTCTCATATGTTTGTTAGGCATTTGAGCGCCTCTCTTCTGGACTGAATGTTTATGCAATTTGCACATCGTATTTTCCATTTTATTATTGACTCACAAGAATCATTTGTATATTCTAGATAAAAATCTCCCTTGGTTTTATTAGACAAAATATTCTTTGCTGCCTCCTTTAAGGTGGGTCTGCCGTGTAGAGGTTTTAATTTTGATGCTGAGAGGTGCGCCATCCATCTCTTCACATCTTATTCTCTTGAGTCTTATTTAAGAAATAAGAGCATGAATAAGAATTAAAAGACATTTTCCTCTCAGATTTTAAAGTTTTGCTTTTAACATTTAGATCCTTGTGCCATCTGGAATCTATCTCTGTGTATGGCTTGCAAAAGGGATAAAGTTTTATTTTCCCATATGGCTAGCCAGTTGTCCCTGCCTTGCTTGCTGACTGGCCCATCCTGTCCTTCCTCACTGGTAAGAAAAGTCTTTGTTTTGAGTCAAGAAATCAGTTTTGTTTGCAAATGTTTAAGGACCCTCTCTCTCTTGGTCCTCTTCCAGGAGGAAAATTGAAAAGCGCTTCAATACTTTGTTATGTGTGTATCTCAGGTGTGGGCAGGCATTCTCTGTCCAGAGCATGCCTTATTTTGTTTGGTTTTATTTCTTCTTTTTCCTTCTCTCTATAAAGGAAACACTTCTCTGAGCTTTGGGTGCAGTTCAATGGTAGAGCACTTACCCAGCACTGGTGAGGCACTGGGTTCTAGCTTTAATACCATAAATAAGTAGAATCAAGCAACTAAATTTCAAAACAAGGCATCTCCCCTTTCTGAGGATGAACTGCAACTCCCAGAGTGTCCAGAGGCACCCACTGCCAAGTGCACATTTCTGATACCTGGCCCTTCATTTGGCTCCTTCCTGACTCTGCCAGAGTTACCCAGTGGGTGGCCTGTCTTCGTCTTGAAATCAACACCCATGGTGGCAACAGAAGGTGGAAGGAATGGCTAGGTAATTGGCTACATTCAGACACGTTACCAGGGCCTCTCTTGTGGAGACAGAGTTGGAGGTTAGGAAGAGACAGCCACCAACAGAAGTAACAGTAGAGTTAGATTGACTGCCCCTCACCAGCACCATAACCAGGCCATCTGAGTGCTCTACCAGTGCTGCCTGGCTCCTCACAACAATCTTTGTAATCAAGGGGGCTGCTAACCCTCTCACTCTTGAGATAAGAAAACTCCATATCAGTGGTTTGAGCAGTTTGCCTCAGATGGTGAAACTGGGTCCAAGCCCAGGCTGAGAACTGTTGTCCCTGACCACCAAAGCACAGTGTCCTGTGCTGACTGTGTGACTGTAGATGTATGTCCACCAAATTTATGTTTGCATAAACCTATTCCTATTTTCTTAGGAGAACCCTATATTAGCATGTTTAGTATGCTAAATGATCCAAAAAGACATCCAAACATGCCCCTTTCCCCAGTCAGAACCCAACAACATGGCAAAAACTCCCCCAAGTCTCCCCTATCCTACCTTGCCAGCCATTCCTATCTCTGAATACATACACAGTCCTAAGGCACCCTGTAAACATACTGGATTTGCACTTGCTTTTCCAATTCATAAATAAGTTTTGGGGCTATCTCAATTCTATATATTCCTAATAGTTCAATGTATTACAGCTTACTCATTCCAGAGCATGGCATATTTAGATTGGTTGTAGGTACCTGTAATCATTTAAACATTCAAAACAATTTATAATGTGTAGTTTCTCTCTCTCTCTCTCTCTCTCTCTCTCTCTCTCTCTCTCTCTGTGTGTGTGTGTGTGTATGTGTTTGCATGCTTGCATGTTTGTGTGTAGTCTAGCAATTCATTATGGAAAGGCTGGGAAAAACTGCAAATACATCTCACAATATGAGAGATGATATGTATCTAGTTATTCTGCAAAGATATTTTGGGAAGTCACACAGCTGTAGACACTGTGTTTCTGTGATTGGTCACATGATTGAGACAGAGAATCACCAACCTGGAATGCATTTTCCTGTGACTTTGTTTGTTTGAACACATCATATTATATTTATGAACCTGTATGCTCCTTTTGGTGTCATCTATTTTCTTGTGCTCTTTGTTTCATTGTATTTCTACCTTTTTCAGTGGGAAAACTATTGGCAATTTCAGTGTGTTAATGGGAGGAGTTGTTGGCAACACTAATATTTTATACAGTTTTATCATGACTGTATTTTGAAGCCAGGTGATTGGGATGTATCTGTAATATCTATACTTGGGAGGATGAGGCAGGAAGGTTAGCAGTTGAAAGACAACCTGGCTTCTGAAATCCAAATCATCACTGGTTCCTGGAGAGCCCTACGAAGTCACGTCTGGCTCTTTTTCACAAGCTGTGTTCATCTGTGGATATTCCAGCACAGAGAGCTTCATGTGTACCTCACAAAGTGAATATAATTTTAGCTTCGTGTGCGTGGGGGGCAGCGTGTTTGGTTACAATCCTAAAGAAAGAGAGTTTCTGACAATTTAAGCTATTTCTACAATTGCTTAGAAAGTTCAAGCAAATCCTATGGAAAATTTTCCTGCAGGAGTGGCTAATGGCTAGCTTTCCAGTTCTGTGTATGGAAATTGGTCTGTTCAGAATTATCTGTAGTAAACTCTCTCTCTCTCTCTTTCTCTCTCTCTCTCTCTCTCTCTCTCTCTCTCTCTCTCTTGTGTGTGTGTGTGTGTGTGTGTGTGTATACATCAGCCTTTTCTGTCTGTGGGCCACGCACCCAAGAAATCATCCATCTACACATCATAAAGTCTAAAAGAAATAAATAAATAAGCGTATACACTGAACATAGATTTCTTCCCGTCACCCTCTCTAAACATGAAATGAGTCTTTCTAGAGCAGTGGTTCTCAACCTTCCTAATGCTACAACCCTTTAATACAGTTCCTCATGTAGTGATGACCCCCAACCATAAAATCATTTTCATTGCTACTTCATAAATGTAATTTTGCTACTGTTATATAATCATAAATATCTGATCTGCAGATGGTCTTAGGTGACTCCAGTGAAAGGGTCCTTCGACCCCCACCAAAGGGGTCCAGAGCCACAGGTTGAGAACCAGCAGGCGGAGATGGGTAAATTCTAGAGGATTTACACCATACCAGGTCTAACCAGCAGGCGGAGATGGGTTTGTGGATTATACGCAAACGCCTCACCTCACCTTTCACCTGAGTATCTGCAGATTGTGGTAATTCCCTTTGAAAGTCCTTGGTGACCATGATGAAAATAAGTTGACTGAAATTGTGATCATTCTTTTTCTTTCTCCACTATATTTAATTGGCCTGTGTGTAGTCTCTATGGCATCAGCCCACTGTCTTGCCTACTGTTGTTTTGTGATAAGTTTGAAGAATGGAGACCATGGTCTCTCAGTCCCTGGACACATTTAAGCAGCCTGGGTGGCTCGCACGCTGAAGTCCAGGGTCAGCTTTTTTCGGAAAGCTGCTCCCAGTGGCTTCTGTCCTGCCTAAGGTCTTGCCTTTCTTTTTGCCAGCTCTATTGCTCATTGATGCCATTACAAACACAGGTGCTTTCCACGCTTCAGTTTTGAATTGTTTACTAGTGGTATGAGACTAAGTTCTTGCAAAATAGCAGAGCTCTGCTCAATATCAGCTGAGACACTTTGTAAACCTGTGATGGGTTTCTAGCAGAGTCCTTGGGATCAGCGCTATAAAGACCTGGTCTACCAAACAGGTGGTTTCACTTTTCCTCTCAACCACATCCCATAATTTTTGAATCCTCACCTAATTTCTCTAGATGGATCTTCCATTACGGTCCGAAGTGAAGTCCCCAAGGTGGATCTTTTCTCACTCCATTTTTTGTGAGGAAATCATTTGTTCTTTGGACATGATGAAGCATGTGGCTTTTCACAGTAGTCTAACATCGGGTTTGCATTCTTGAATTTTGGGTTCTGAGAGATGGTTTTGCCCAATAAGCAATTCCTGGTGGGTGCGCTGTTCTTCAGCTCCTTCTCTTGCTGCCACACCGCCTCCAACTCCAGTTCTGGTGAGACATTGCTGGGGTGATGGGGAAAGAAGCAAGGACAGACATGCAGACGTGCATATGGAAGGCTGGGTGGAGCGGGGCATTAATGGGCATTTATGCTAAAGCAAAATGCCAGAAAGCAGCCCCACTGAGAGCAGGTTCAGTGCACTCCCGGTGCTCAGTAGAGCAGCTCTGGAGTCAAGCTTGACCTGGGTGTGGTTCCCAGATGCCCCTCCTCGACTGCTTTCTAGCAGGACTTGCCTAGAAGTGTCCCTTAGCTCCTGCTCTCCTCTCTCATTATTTGCTACCCTCACCCAATAGCAGCGCAGGCTGGCAGCCTTCACTCCCTTCTCTTGCAAGTGTGAAAGACAAAGGTCAGTCAGTCAGTCCCAGCAGGCATATGTACTCTAATGTCCTCGCAGGATTATACAAGGAAACAAGTTCCCAGGGAGAAATGAGTGAATATGTAAAACCATCCATGCAGGCAAAGGCAGACTCTTTAGCCAGCAACAATGAGAAACCCCACCATTTACAACAGCACAAAAAATACTGCACTAAGTAAAAAAGGAGATGCAGAGAGGCAACATCTCTGAGGTCTCACTGACAGGTGGCGTTGAAGAGACAAAACCCAAGGAACAGAATAGAGAGTAGTCTCCAGCAGATGGACTTGATGGAATGGATGGAATGAGGAGATCCAGGTCAATAAATCCCAGGTTTCTGGTAGGCACAGCTGGTAAAGCTATAACACTGGTGCCTTTTCGTTATAAAACATTCTGACCAAAAGCAGATTAACAAGAAAAGGGCTTATTTGGCTTATACCTCCAGGTCCTAGTCCATCACTAAGGGAAGTCAGGACAGGCACCCAAACAGGAGCGTGAAGCAGAAACCCGGAAGAAGACTGCTTGCTGGCTTGCTCACAGGCTCATGCTCAGCTTGTTGTTTTATACAGCACAGGCCCACCTATTTAGGGAATGGTGCCACCCACAGTGTGCTGGGTTCTCTCACATCAATTAACAATCAAGATAATCCCTCTAGACTTTTCCACAGCCCAATCAATCTGATCAGGGCCATTCCTTAACTGTCACTCCCTTCTTAGGTTATGCTAGGTTATATCTAACTGACAGTTAAACCTAACTAGGACAAACACAACCACATAGCACCGTGAGTGCAGCTAATATGCTGTGCTGTACACTGGAGAAGATTCTAGGTAGGGTAGATTTCAAATAAGACAAAGGTAATTGTGAGAAGATGGATTGATCAGTCTATTCAAATTCAGCAAACCCCCTCTTGTGTATGAAATCAACCATCATGCTGCACCCTTACATGCATGCAATTTTATTAAAAATAAAAGTACAAATACCAACCACTCGTAAGCTGAAGGACTCTGCATTGTGGCTCAGTTTTTGTTGGCCAGGCTTTCTTTAGGAAACTATGAAGTCACATATGTACTGCTGCTGGTGGGTTCCTGGGCAGGAATCCACCATCCCACTGAGACTGTACCCTGATTGTGTGGCTTATGGTCCTTATGCATGCCAGGATTCCTGCCCCCAGGGCTTCCTGGGGTCTCAGGAGTGGGTGAATAGCTGTGCATCAATCCTGGTCAGATGATGACCTCTTCCCCAAGCCTTTTGTGATTTCTGCCCCTCCTCTGGGGTCTGGAGCAGTTGGCTGCCCCATATTTTGCCTGTTTTGTGTTCATGTGACATCACCACTCCCTTTTGGGCTTGTGGAAGTTGTGAAGGAGGTGGCAACTGGGAACTTCAGGGGGTTCTTCTTAACTCTGGGCCCTGCAGTGGGTAGTGGGCCTTTTAGTAATCTAGGAGGTGCTGCGACAATGTGCATTCCCTGTTACGGGATTCCCACCTGGGACCTGTTGCCATTCCAATACAAAGTATTCATTTCAGTATCATATTCCCCTTTTTCTCTTAAAAAGAGAGATTGGCTGTGATGATTAACCATTTATGACCAACAGCATATAAATGAAAACAAATATTTATAAAGAATATTTTGGAATGTGGACACTGTTCTCTCCAAACTGCTTCCTTCTGTTTGGGGGCTGTGTCTTGGGTATCCTAAGAAGACCCAGAAATCCTGACTATAGTGGTTTGCAAGGCTGCCTTGTCCCAGCTGTTCTGAATGTTGGATCACCTGGGCCACTGCCTCAGGGAGTCTTGCTTCATCAAACCATATTAGTCTGGAAGGAATCTACAGCTCTTCATTTTCTGTGGAAACACAAATAAAATCTCTTTTCCAAACTAACATATCCTTATACTTAAATTTTGAAGTCAAGGCATTTTTAAAATATGTAAGTTGGATTAATCCAACAGCATTTCTTTTAGCAGTTGTTACTATTTCCTCAGCAGCCAAACAATTCATACACAACACAATAGCATACAGTATCCAGACTCTCTGTGTATTTTCCATCTTTACGTGGCTTATTTATTTATTATTACTCTATTTCTTTTATCTTTTCATTTTTTGAGACAAAGTTTCTCTGTGTAACTTTGGCTGTAATTGAACTCACTATGTACACCAGGCTGGCCTTGAAATCACAGAGATCTGCTTACCTCTGCCTCTCAAGTTCTGAGGCGTGTACCACCACACCCAGCTACTCTATTTCTTCTCTATTTCTTTTTAAAAAAACTTTCTCGGTACTTTTTCTTTTCTATACCAATCCTACATATTTTTTAAATACAGTATAAACCTTTACAAGGTTTTTTTTTTTCATCTGTCACTATTGTAAATCCTTACCTTTTTCTGGTCTTTCATCTGCTAAAACCACTGCAGCTGTTTTATCCACTGGCTTTCCAACATGGTAGGTGTAAGTTCACTGCCAGCACTGGGAGCTGTGCTTATCACCGTAGTCTATGCCGCCATCAAGCATCGTGCTTCCAGCTTGGAGATATGGTCACTGCCACTGCCAGCTGCTCGCACACACCATTCAATTGCTAGCAGGGCCTCTTAAAAGAGCCCTGGGTTGTTTGTTTGTTTGTTTTTGCCACTTATGCCGAGTCAGGAAAGCTCCTTTAAAGGAGTCACTCAAGTCTTTGCTTGTCTCTAACAAAACAGAGTCCACCCGAGAAAAATGCTGCTACTAAGAAGCCGTGCTTGTCTCTGTTTTTTATTTCTAAAATGCTTTTAAAGATTTTGTCAAGTTTTAAGTGGAAATTCTTGTCCTACATTGCTGGCGCCATTTTGTTACGGGATTCCTGCCTGGGTCTTGTTGCCACTTCAGAGTCCCCAAATAACACACAGAGACTCTATTAGTTACAATGCTGCTGGCCAATATCTAGGGCTTCTTATTGGCTAGATCTGTCTTAAGTATTAACCCATAACTACTAATATATATTTCTATAAGTTCTTACCAAGAGCACCAGACTCATGGGTACTCTCCTCCCAGGATCACATGGTGACTTCTCTTTACTACATTTCCCAGAATCCTCCTCGACTCCTAGTCCCACCTATCTTGCTTCCCTATTGGCCAACAGTGCTTTATTCATCAACCAATAAGACAAACATACACACAGAATATTCCCCATCACTTCCCGGACCTGACACCTCTCCAGGCACAGTCTCACACATAGCGAAGTGTGAGAAACCCTGACATTTAATGACACTCACATATGAGATATTTGTTGTCAACTTGGCACGGCATTAGCTGCTGTTTGTCACATGCCCCTCAAACCAGTGGACTCTCCTTCCATTTAGTAGTCACTGAAATGGTCACCTAACCCACTGCAGCTTAGCCAGAATTCAGATGTCATCTCTCCTGTCCAAAGACTGTAGTCACTACCCCTGATGATGGATAACCCCAGGGGCATCAGGCATCCTAAGCCCCTCTGTGCTGAGGCTGGTTGGGAGAAGCGAGGAGGCCTCCCTTGGGTATCTGCAGAGTGCCTGACTCTGCCAGTCTGGAGTGGGAGCAGCCACCACCATGCCTTGGGTAGCCAGGCATAACTTGGTCTTGTCAACAGAATTCTGGCCTTAGCTTAGGTGACCAAGAAAAGTAACAGGTTCAAAATGAGGGTGTGGTCAGGGCCTGGGTGTGGGAAGCCAGCAGGAGAATGTCCGTGGGAGACTGAGGGGAGCTCAGTGAGCTGACACCCTAAGTTCCAGTTTCATGGGACTGCACCTTTAACACTGCCTAGGGGACTGTGAAGCCTGTGGTAGACTATAAAACACCACCCCCCAAGTTACCCAGGTCCTGAGCCTCAGAAGCACAAATGTGACCTTAAATGACACTGAAAACTGTGCAAGTGTGAGTGGACTCAGGGTATCAAGCTGGCAGTGATTATGGTTAGTCTGGTAATGTGAATTCTAAGTGTATTTGCATCCAGCAGAGAGAGAGAGAAAGCTACATTAGATATAGGGAGTGTCCATGTGATGAGAAAGACACTGATGGCAGATGTGGCCCAAGCCCAGAACTCCAGGAGTTCCCAGAGACTGGACCAGTAGAATGGGCCCTCTGCCTCCAGAGAACCAGCCCACAAGACTCGCCTGGGAATTCCATCCTCTGGGAAAGTGTGTGGGTGGGTTAGCTGCCACAATAGCAATGAGAAAGCTAAGGGACAATGACCTGCCTCCTAGGCTACTGGGAGTCTTCCAGACTGCCCATATGCCCTACCTCTCTTTTGTATCTCTGTGACTGTGTTCTTATATTTCTGATTCCCTTTGTGTGTGTGTGTGTGTGTGTGTTGTATTGTTACGTGTGTATTAGTCTGTGTAAGGGTGTAGGATGTGTGTGGAAGGACAGAGGTCACAATCAGGTACCTTCCCCAGTCCCTTTCCACTTTATTTATTTTAATTAATTTATTTAATTTAGAAACAATCTTATTTTATATATCAATCCAAGTTCCCTCTCTTTCCCATCCTTCCATGCCACCCACCAAACCCCCCAACCCATTCCCCTATCCACTCCCCAGGGAAGGTGAGGCCTTCCGTGGGGGATCGTCAAAGTCTGTCACATCATTTGCGGTTAGGGCTAGGCTCTCCTCTGTGTATCTGGGCTGAGAGTATCCCTC